AGGAAACCCTACTAGACCTTCTTCACTTCTCCTACACCCAAAAAATCAGCAGGCCTTGAGAGATTCATGGGTGAGCATGGAGAAAACACAAATTAGAGAACAACCCGCTCTGATCCCATGTCAACTAACATAAAATAGAATAGCAAATCAAGGAGAAAATGAGAAGAAGAAATGGAGAGAACACCAAGATTTAATATGGTTCAGCTTGGTAACCTACATCCACAGGAGGAAAGGAAAAATATCCACTATGAGAACAAAAGATACAACTCTCTCTCTCTCTCTCATACACACACACACACAACCCTAATCCCACACAACCACTAGATTAAATAAACAAAAGACCGAATTATATCAAAATTACACATAAGCCCCTTTTCTCCCATAAATACATATAGGTCCCCATAATTTATCAATATTACAAATATACCCCTATAACCTCCAACAATCCAAATAGAATATATCTCTCAACACGCCCCCTAAACTCAAGGTGGGAAAACCAGGTTGAGTTTGCAAGTAAGGATGTTGCAGCAACCTCCATGGAAATAAGTTTACTATTGAAGCAGCAGTCATGAACCTTGAGATGTTGAAGGGACCTCAGAAGCAACACTTCACCAATACACCACAAACTATCATGTCACTACACTTTTCTCAAACACCAAGGGAGTTTCACACGTTCACCAACAATCCACCATTACACCACATCACTACACTGTTTTCGAATACCATGGGAGCTTCACACACTCACCAACAAAGTAATCACCACACCACGAACCATCACCAACTCACAAGCATCCACAACTTGAGGCATCAAAGCCTCTTTTCCAACTCACAAAACCATCACCAACTCACAAACAGCCACAACTTGAGGCATCAAAGCCCCTTTTCCAACTCACAAAATACTGCAACCTGAGGCATTGATATTTATATTTCAAAGTTGTTAACAATACCTTGTTGCTAGTAGTCAACTACTACACGAAGAGATTTCGTAGTAGTCAACTACTACCTCAACTGAACATGAAATAGCAGAAACCTGAACACCTTCACAGCTCACAAAATCACTCATCATACCACTATTAAACTCTTCACAGCATCAATCACTAACCCAGAAATATTTGTCACAGCATTCCCTCATGGATTCGATCCACTAAAGGGATACACACCTCACTGTTTACTTGTCACGATAGTTGTGATGGTCAAAAACCATCACTAATCGCGAAGAAAGCAAGCTAAAACTGGTCCGATCCCCTGTAGCAGTGAGTATCAACCTTCCACAAAGRAAACCTAGATAGATCGACTATAAGAGGAAACCCTACTAGACCTTCTTCACTTCTCCTACACCCAAAAAATCAGCAGGCCTTGAGAGATTCATGGGTGAGCATGGAGAAAACACAAATTATAGAACAACCCGCTCTGATACCATGTCAACTAACATAAAATAGAATAGCAAATCAAGGAGAAAATAAGAAGAAGAAATGGAGAGAACACCAAGATTTAACATGGTTCAGCTTGGTAACCTACATCCATAGGAGGAAAGGAAAAATATCCACTATAAGAACAAAAGATACAACTTTCTCTCTCTCTCTCTCTCTACACAACCACTAGCTTAAATAAGCAAAAGACCAAATTATATCAAAATTACACATAAGCCCCTTTTTTCTCCCATAAGTACATACAAGTCCCCATAATTTATCAATATTACAAGATACCCCTATGACCTCCAACAACCCAAATACAATATATCTCTCAACAAGATAACCTTTGGTTGCTTAAGGAGCATCCATCAAAAATTCAGCTTGGTAGAGAGTTCTCAAGAGAGGGAGACCTCAATGAGCTCTATGAGGTAAGGATATAACCAGACCACCAAAACCAACTCTCTTAGCATAGAATTAGGGCCTGTTTGGGAGCACTTCTGCGTTGACTGAGCTGCATTGACTGAGCCGAATAGCTTCACCGAAAAATCGATTTTACAGCTTCTATAAGCCTAATTCCAACTTTCTGGGTTTTTACCAAATACAGCTTCATGATGTTCTGGGTTTTCTCAGCTCATGTAATGCCAGAAGTCGCTGCATGAAAGACATCCCAAACGAGCACTTAGCTGTAATTCCTCTCCAAGGTCTAAAGCCAATGGATTTCTGTAATGATAACCAAATTAGTCACCCTCAGAAGACCTTTTTATATTCTAGAAAATATCAGCACCCTTTGTTCTCATATGCTCCAAAATACTTCATACAATAAAATGCTTAAGTCCTATTCTGAATTACATTACTTCAAGCATGACTACTAACTACAAATTGGGGGGAAATAGATTTAGAGACATCCACAAAAATAGTAAATAACTAAATATGAACTGAGGTTTTTTGGGAATTTAAAACAAGAAATAGCAGTGTGCTGACATATTTAGAATTTTGTTGTTGGAAACCTATAATATCAGTTAATGTGATCATTTTTCTTGTGAGTTGTGACTACATATGTATGACAAGGATTTTTGCTATAGTAGTTGAAAACAAAAGAAAAAGAGCTAAGTTCAAAACCAAATGCAGAAAATGGAATTGGAAATCAAGGGAAAAAAGCATTTAAATGCAAACTTTTGAACTCCCAGCCAACTGATGCCAACGTTGATAAAGCAGAGATAAAATGTTATTGACAATGATGAAAGGCAAAATAACCAGATGTTTGGATATTCAAGCAAATGTTACAGTGCATAAGGGGTGATGTGAAGCAACAAGTGAGATCCTACCATCTTTGGCATCTCCATCATATAACCCCACAATGTTGGTCCCAGTTATATGGGGTCTTGGCATTTCCATCATATATGAACTAAAAATGGAACCAAAACAAAATTATAAAATCATATTGAAATCTGAGTTAATATTACCAGGGCAGGAAGACTAGAAGGTTTTCCAGATCCCTCATCTGGAAGGTATTCTGCAATAGCATTGGTAACCACAAGAGCTCGCAGATATTCTGCCACTCCTTTGCTATCTACTGCATGATCCCTTTGTTGGAAACGTCTGATGACAGACTCAGGACTGCCAAAATATAATAAGTTACTAAAGCCACAAACTTTTAAATTTTTAGCATCTGGCAAAAGCAATCCACAAAGTTATACTTGCATGCTAACTTACGATAATCTTAACAGAAACTTTGACATACGGTATACCATCTTAATATTCAAATGATCTTTAGATAATCTTCGAAATAATCAACCGGAAACAAGTAGAAAAGGGGAAAAATAAAACAAGCAAGCAATGCACATGGATGAAATGCTAAATTCGTTTTTAACCGTAGAGTTTAGTAGCTAAAGTATAAAGAAAATACGAAGCTTGACGCCATTAAATATATTACTGGGTGCAGCCAACACAACAGACACCAATAAAGAAATCAGAGAACGCTAAAAACAATGAAACTCAGGATCCTGCTTATGAACTACTGCGAGTCTGCGACTGACATTATAATCGCCCAAGAGTGCTACTATTCTGTTGTGTACATAACATCACGAACTAAAACATGGACCTCCAACATTCTATAAACAATAATTCCTTTTTTTAAGTGGCAGAACTGATTTTGAGTAAACAGAGTAGCATCCAACCTGTGCTTGTTGAGCTCAGCCAACAGAGCGCTCTGCTTTGCAGCATCATTAGGACTGGCATCAGCTTCAGAAATTAGACGTTCCAATCGCTTTTCCTGCCGCCAAAATGGCCACCAATTCAACCACTCTGAGAAGGCAAGCCTTTCGAATCCTCTCCTTGCCGAAGCCAGGATTCCAACTAAAAAGACCAATAGCGGAAATCTGTTCTCTGTTCTTCCTTTCTCAACTGAAGTTTCAGATTCGGTCACAACCTCCACTTTAGAACTAACTTCTCTAACTGCGTTAGCATCCGTAACTGAAGCTTCCGACCCCGGTCTCAAATTTTCACTGTCAAGTTCCATAGAAAAGTCTTCGTTCTGCAGTTTCGCGAAATACGGACTTGAACCATTACCAGAGAAATTCGATTCTGAAATCGAATTCGCGCTTTTCTGGCAGCAATGCATGGAGAATCAAGGAAGAGTGCTGATAAAATCGGGATTTCGATAAACGAACTCTGAATGAAGAAAAAAAGACGGACGAAGTGAATGAATTACAGCCGTGGATATTGCCGATAGAGGCTTGAGGATTTTTTGAAAAATATGTGCCATGCAAGGAAGGTCTGCATAGAAGTGAAGCTTGAAGAGCAGTCATGGCGGATAATTACGGCTTGTTTTCTCTTGAAATCACTAAATAACTAGGGTTAAAGTAGCATTGATGAAGAACGTAAACTTCTCTCTTTCTCTCCTTCACTGTTTGATAGAAGCAACGGTTTCAACTTATTGGCCAATAGTAGCACGGGAGGGAGAAACGACGAATAGAGGAAAAACCTTATATAGTTGGAAATTGAGAATTGGCGCCGGGTTGAGGCGTTTTACTTCTTCGTTGACTCGTACCGAGTAAGAAACAGCATGACAACGTGTATGCTACTGAGTTTTGAACGTCAAGAACCGAGTGACTCATATGACAACCCTCTTCCGATAACGGAAAACCAATCAAATAGCAAGCGAGCCCGGATCTCCTGCCCACGTTTATCGCAGCCACGCATAATATTATGCAGGGGATAATTTTATTGGGACCGATTTTTAAGAAAAAACGTCCAATGTTTTTAAGACCTGTTTTTTTTTTTTTTGAAAAAGCGCTTTAATTTTATAGGTATTTGAAAGCGTTGGCGCTTTTTGGCAAAGTTTTTGAACCGCCGTTGACCCGGACGGTTGGACCATTCGGCCTAGGAACCGTCCAGGCAACTGGTTCCGTTTTACCCTAAACCCAGAATCTGGTCAAAAACCGCTGAAAAAGTCAACAAACCGTTGACCCGGGTGGTCAAACCGTTGACCCATTGACCCATTCAACGGTTTTTGACCATTTTTTTATTTTTTAACTTTGCTATCAGAATGGGCCGTCCGTTCGAACCGGATGGTCGGACCGTTGACCATAAATCGGTGCCCAAAACGGTTCCGTTTCTGGGTTATTTTTTAAAACATTGCTTTGGGACCGATTTTCAAGAAAAAACGCCCACGCTTTCCAAGAGTTGTTTTTCACCAAAAAAAAAAACGCTTCTGCCACGTAGGCAGCGAGTAACAATATGCTGTTTGGTAAGGTGATTTTCATCATTGTTTTTCATGTATGTGCTGACAGGTAAGCACCACATAGAATACACATCAGTCAACCGTTGGGGGAAACGGTTCACCGATGCATGAAACGCCAATCGGTGGGGTCCCGATTTACAAGGCATGCCCAATTTTTCAATAAATGCCTGAACCAAACAATGAAATATATGGGCGTTTGTTGAAACGCCTATGTGGATTGGACGTGGCACTGTTTTTTTGAAAAAACGATCACAGTTCCAAACATCCCCAAGACTACTCATTTTTACTCTTTTTCACATCACTCACCTATTCTTAAACCAATGATTTTGCTGCATACAAGCTTTAAGCGTTCGATTCATACCCTTTGACGATTGAAACCCATCTGGCTGTTGCTGTAATCATCATTCTAGATGGTGTTTGGAAGCATTGACGTTTTTTAGGACCGATTTTCAAGAAAAAAAAGCGCCCAAGCTTCCAATACCCGTTTTTCCCCAAAAAAAAAAAACCGCTTTGATTTTGTTTGGGTGTGTTTCTACCACACAGGAAGTGAACAATACTATGCTGTTTGGTAAGGTGATTTTCATCACCGTTTTTCATATATGTACTAACAGGTAAACACCACATAGGATACACGTAATCGCCAATCAATCAACCATTGGGGGCAATGGTTCGCCGATGCATGAAAACACCAAATTTGATGTTTCATACATCGGTGGAGTCCCAATTTACGAGGCATGCCCATGGTTCAAGCATTTTTTCAAAAAATGCATGAACCAAGGATCCAACGTGGCACCGTTTTTCCGAAGAACGGCCACAGTTTCAAACATCCCCCTAGCTAGCTTTATTCCTCATTTTTCTTACTGCTTTTGTCTCAACTACAATTGCGAAATGGGGTCCACCTCTCTCGCACATTGATCCCTCAACATGTTCTTGCACAACAAACCAAAGGATGCCTGTGTGAATTTGGCATGTGCGAGTGGGAATAATGGACGTTTTAAACGTCATCCAATTCTATTTTTAACATATATCAAATAAGGGTTTCTTCAAATTCTACTTTTAGCCTTCCTTTTGTTACTCGTGAAGCTACATCATCATTCCCTTCTCCCTCTCTCATATGGACACCTCAACATGCCCAGCCCAAGTCATGAAATTGCCATATCAACATGGCAATCTCCAAATTTTTGGCAAAAAAATAACAACTTATATATCATAATTCACCATAATGACAATAGTTAAACAGTAAGGGTATTAATAATTACCAAATAAACAGTAGGGGTACAGTTAAATAATTATCAAATTTATACTGTTAAATAATTAAATTATTAATTATCACTATTAATTAATTTAACATTGTTAATATTTAGTATTAATAAATATTGTTAATATATTAACAAATAAATATGGTTATTAATAATTATCAAATCTATTTTTATTAATAAGTACCATTAATTAAATACTATTAATATATTACCAAATACATTTTTACTAATAATTACCATTAATATTTATCAAATATTGTTAATAAGTAAAAATAGTGATAATAATTACTGTTATTAATAATTAGTATTATTTTTAATAATTACAGTTATTTCTATAATTTCTAGTTAATTATAGGTAAAAATTACGGAAATTTAACATTACTATTTATATTAAAAGTAATAATATGAGTTGCCAAAAATTAGTAGTAATAATTGAAAATTACGAAAAAGTTCAATTACTGTGTTAATTCTAATTATGTTTTAATTATTAATTTTTTCTTAATATTACCAGAAATTTTCAATAATCTAATGTTATTTTCCTTGAATTATTTACTAGTAAGAATACTTGAAATTCATAATATTATTAGTAATTGTTAATATTATCAGTGGTTACTAGAAATTACTGGTAAATATTCAAAATTACAAAAAAAAAGACTAGAAATTATTAGAAATTAGCAAAACTTAAAAAATAAATTATCAGTAATTACCATAAATTATTTTTCTTTTTAAATAGTTATTAATTTATTTTTATTTTCCCTTAATTGTTTATTTGTAAATTATCAATAATTATTCAAAATTACCAAAAATTAAGTGTAGCAATTCATAATTACCAGAAATTACCACCGAATTTTGATATACTAGAAAAATAATAAAATTACTAGAAATTACCAGTAATTCTTTGTTTATTGGGAAAAAACAAAAATTACTAGAAATTACCAAAAACTTATTACTAGTTTTTGAAAATTACTAGAAATTATCAATAAATTGTTAATTGAAAATTATTAGTAATTTTTTAAAATTACCATAAATTAAATTGTTAATATTATCAGTAATTGCCAAAATTACTAGAAATTGTTAAAAATCAATATTTAATAGAAATTATGGGTAATTAGCATTATTTGTCATTTTGAGTAGTTATTAATTTATTTTTATTTCCGTCGAATTATTTATTGGTAAATTATAAGTGATGGAGGACAATTTGACCCGACCTATGAAACAGTGACACGTGGACACTAACTCAGCACGAGCGATGGCTCAGCATTGAGGCCTAGTGCGACCAAGTGACGGGCCCATAAAGCAACTCGCTACGTTGTAGCTCACAAAAGGAGGAGCTCGCCACAACGCGAGCTACGGGTTCCCCGAGCTACCTTTGAAGGGATACTCCGAGGCAACTTTAGCTCGTGAGCTAGGGGAATAGCGCGCCCAAACTCCCAAGCAGACAAGTCATCCCACAGACCATTTCTATTAAGGGTAATCCTGAAGTGTTCCGAGCTCGCTACAAAATAGCCCACGAATGAACCGCATGAGTGTTCCTCAGGAAGCTTCTATCTGACAGGTCGTACCGGTCAAACTGCGCCACGTCCCTTACTGACGGCGCAGCCCCTGTCCTTTCGACAGTCTGCGTCCANGGGGTCCAGCTCGGCCCCGGGGTCCTGGATGGCGCCCCTCCAAGAAGTTGGGAAGGGCCACCCCTCGGGGTTACGAACCATAAAGTAATCCCGCTTTCAGGCGGGAATCTTATTCGGTAGCTCGTACAAGAGCTTATAGCCGTGGCGGGGAGAGAGGTAGTAAAAGCGCCTCTCTGGAGGAACCCTAGGAGCAGCATTTTTTATACAAAGAATAGAGGCGAAAATGTCAAGGTTCAAGGGAAGACAGTACTCATGACACAAAGATATAGTCCTAACCATGTTCCGAATGGCGTTGGGATGAATCCGAAGACAACAAGATGGCGTGAGAGAAAATGAGGCCCAGAGGGCCCTCCTATTTATAGTCTCCACCCCTCCAAATCTACGGTCCATATCAAAGCAGATCCAATGGCTCACAGGCGCACTGACCGCACGCCGTCTTCCACGATTAAGGTAATGACGGCCGCACGACGTCCGGAGTTAAGAGCCACTTCTATATGTTTTTGAAATCCGAAAAGTCAGGGAAGTCAGAAAATCTCTTGATTCCCGCGAATGCATTTAACGTGAGTAGTCAATCAAGTTTGAATTTCGGTCAAATCAGTCCATCATGCTTCAAACTCCTCGTGCTAAGACAACAGTCTTAGCTTAAGGAGTGGGGGGCAATTGATGGAGGACAATTTGACCCGACCTATGAAACAGTGACGCGTGGACACTGACTCAGCACGAGCGACGGCTCAGCATTGAGGCCTAGTGCGACCAAGTGACGGGCCCATAAAGTAGCTCGCTACGTTGTAGCTCACAAAAAGAGGAGCTCGCCACAGCGCGAGCTTCGGGTTCCCCGAGCTACCTTTGAAGGGATACTCCGAGGCAACATTAGCTCGCGAGCTAGAGGAACTAGCTTGCGAGCTAGGGGAACTAGCTCGCCCAAACTCCCAAGCAGACAAGTCATCCCACGGATCATTTCTATTAAGGGTAATCCTAAAGTGTTCCGAGCTCGCTACAAAGTAGCCCGCAAATGAACCGCATGAGTGTTCCTCAGGAAGCTTCTATCTGACAGGCCGTACCGGTCAGACTGCGCCACGTCCGTTACTGACGACGCAGCCCCTGTCCTTTCGATAGTCTGCGTCCACGTCTCTCAGCAGGCAGAGGCGTGCCTTCCACTTTGGAGACGTGTCACTCACCCAGACGAAAGGTACGTCACAACGGTCACCTGCACAGCCCTGGCAGGTAACGGCCGTGGCAGGAGCCTAGTGGCGGTTATGCCCGACCTGACATGAACGCCCCAATAAAAGCCCTCAGGGCAGAAGAAAAACTTCTTCTTGAGACTTCTAACCTCTCGAATATAGTGAGAACGCGCTATCTGCACTCTTAGCCCTCGTA